ATCATACCATTTGGGATTGGTATGATATGTTAAATGATACGGATTAGGGTAGAGTGTGTCTTAAATCAATCTCTTTTGAAATATAAAAGACATTAAACAAGCAAGTGATAGAGGCAAAGATGGTGGAAGATAGATACCACATCATGTGAAGATAACCCAAGAGCAGAAACTCAAAGAGACAAGGACCTTCCCCTAGAGGTGACAGAGAAAGTTTCCCTAGAGCTAGTATCCTGAATTCAGACTTCTGGCTTCTTAAACTGTGAGAAAATAAATATCTGTTTGTTAAAGTCACTCATTTGTGGTTTTTCTGTTACAGCAGCACTAAATTAACTAAGGACCATGGGCTGGGACAGAAATAGCAGGAATCTTCCCAGGAGATATAGCTTCACCTAGATCTCTTTGTATTTATTGTATCCACTTTATGACTCTATATTTTAAAGCCACCATCTTTCTGTCAGTTTGCTCTACTGTGATGGCGTGTGAGTTGCTTGTGATTCTGGAAGTTATGCCATCAGTATTTCAAATACCAGCAGGGTTAGTGATGGTGGACAGGTTTCAGCAGAGCTTCCAAACTAACTCTAGGAAGAAGTGACTGGTGATTTATTTCCAAAAATTAGCCACCAGAAACCTTAGGAATCTCAGAGTTATGGATACTTCTTAGATGTAACCAAACATCTCATAGGATTAGATTTGGAGGACTAGGACCACAGTCATGTGGGACATCTCTGTCAATTTTCATAATATAATTCATAAAATTATGTTTTCTATCATTTTGAGATCTGAAAAGCTTGCAATTGGCTATCAAAGATACAACTGTTGGTCTCTACTTGTATGGAGCAAAAGAGAAAGGAAACCAAAGACTAGTCTACAGGACAAAAAAACTAGTCTACAGGACAAATAATCTATACAACCTTGGCCTCACTGACCCTTAGACCAGAAGAACTAGATGGTGTCCAGCTACCAGTACTGATCATTCTAATAAGGGCCATAATAGAGGGACCCAGATAGAATGGGAGAAAAATGTAGACCAGAACTCAAATACTAGAAACAAAAACAAAACAGACTTACTGGACTGGTAGAGACTAGAGGATTCCTTGAGACTATTGCCCTGAGACACTCTTTAAATCTTGAACTGGAATTAACCCCTGAGGTCACCTTATAACTAAATACCATATTGGCTCAAAAATGACTATCACCCATAAGTACTTGAAAAATCTTACTTATCAGGAAGATGGAGCTTACCTGTAGCCCATACATTAGCATCTTAGTGCCAAAAAACTAGATGCAGCAGTTTGAAGTGGGGATTCTGGCACTCTGAATAGTTCATTGAGTCAGAGTATGCCAACCTCAGGGGAGTAGGATTAGAAAGGAGGGAGAGGCAGTGTAATTACCAGGAAAGAATAAAAATAGGTGAACCTGCCCTGTGGAGCCCCGACCAGCCGGTGAGACAGGGCATCCCTCTAACCATTGGGGTCTTTGCCAAACTTGACCTGCGGGCCTTTGAATAACAGTGTAACGTCATCATTAGCAGCCTACTCAAAGCTCTGAAAATGGCTACTGGCACCTTGGTGTGTTTTTTTTTTTTCTCTTTTCTTCCTC